CGTGGAAATATAGGTTGCAAGCAATAATGATGGATCCATGAAAAGCCCGAGCAAGGAATATATAATAATGTGATGAGACATGCACACCAAAATCCATGTGTAGTTAACTCATCTTTATACAGAATGTAGTATGAAAATAAGGAGAATAAAGACTGAAAGCAATTGCAGGGATGATCTCCATAGATAGATATGACTAGCGGGAAGGGAAATTTGCAAAGCATTGTGAAACGGGTAAAACGACTCATTTATAAAAAAAAATGGGCATAACTGATGTGGTGATGCACCTATTTGTAGAATAAAGATTTATATAAAACATGGGGGAAATAACTAGTAGATGAGGTGACTAATAGCATGCACAAACATAAGGAACACAATAGTCAACAGCTATGCTAATGATCTATGGGGCTATTAACAATATATAGATATGTTTAACCAATTGTAGCTATGCTGATGAGCTACTGGACTTATTATGACTGAAACATTATGAATGATGCAATATTTGCATCTTTCCTTTGGCTAAAGAACATTCTGTTCTTATAATACGTACTTTTCAGCTTGTTTTTTTAGCCGGAACAGTGTTTTTCTCTCACAACAAATCAGCCGGAACAGTGTTTCGGTTTGTTTTTTCAGCGAAGCGAACGGGACCTTTAAGCAGTGTGAGAATCAAATGGCAAGCTCCAAAGGAAATCAGGTACCACCTGCCTACGAGGTTTTAAGTTCATGTTTTTCTTATGCTAAGGAGAGTACACTAAGATTTCGGATGAGCCCATGAAATAAATCGCAGTGTTAAAGAGGTTACATAACCCCTTTTTATTTCTGAGATGAGTCATGGTTACAAAATCAACATGTTCTAGTATGAAAGGAAATGATTTTGCTGAAAAACAAATTAAATTCAAGAAGAAATAATAGGGAGAAATTTATCATCAATTGCAAAAGACAAACATTTGGGCAATTTAGAAGTATTTAAATAGCACACTAATGATGATAACTGTCGGATGTATGGGCCTAGGGTACCTTCACCGTCCGTATACTCGGCGTTGTCCTCTTCCTCCACCAACCATCATTGACTTAAATCGGCAACATGCAAAAGCAAATAAACTAGGAATAATAAAAAATCGACGGATTTCAGTATCGCGGGAAAGGGGGTGGGCAGGTGAGGGGGCAGAGAATCAATCGGCTTGGTGTGTCGCGAGGGGTGAGGAAAGAAAAGGGGAGGGGGGAGTGTGTTTCTCGCAGTTGAGGGAGGGCAACGCGAGGGGTGGGGAAGGGGAATGGGTGTTTCTCGCAGTTGAGGGAGGGCAACGCGAGGGGTGGGGAAGGGGAATGGGGGTGTTTCTCGCAGCTAAGGGAGGGCAACGAGATGCTGCCCCATGACAACATAGAAAAATACCAGTGAATAAGTAACAAGACCACAATACTCGTGAAATTACCAATTTACCTTTCAATTCGTTAAACCCTCCAAAAACATAGGTAGTCGCACGTATAGTTTCGTACTGCTCCTACCTATTTGCTATTTTTCAATTTTTTTAGTACTTGATATTTTTTTCACCATTCAGTCTCTCCTAATAAACGATATATATTCTTTTAACCATCGGTAGAAAACCTGAACTGAGTATAGTTTCTCTTCTCTAAAATAACGATTATGTAAATGAGACACGACAATAGCTAGCACTGTAAAATTATCGTTGCTACTCCAAGAGCAAGTGAACTAAAGTAGTCCATAAGTACTAAAATACTCTCTACTGGCCAGTTGAAATACTATGGACGTATTCTATATAGCAGTCCATAGCAAAAGATATCTATGGACTTATGAAATACCCATAAGAAATAAGAAATATTTATTTCTCTCTCTCTCTCTCTAAACCCCCCGAATGTCTCAGATAAGATGCATAGTTATTTATTAGTGGGTCCTATATTATTTTAGTATACACTGTGGCAAAGTAGTCCGTATAGATACCTAACATCGAGCCCACTGATTAAGACTACCTAGTCTAAATGCATTGTGGTTACCTATTTAGACTACCTAGTCCCTTCCTAAGCCACTAATTTGATTTGTTTATCAATAATACTATCCCTCCATTCTAAATTGTATGTTATTCTAGGTTTTCTAGATTATTTAGACGTAGTCTACATCTATATACACAGTAAAAACAATATATTTCTCCCGTTTCAACAAAGGGATTACCCCAAAAAGCTAAACTACTTTGGGCTACTTTGGCAACCAAAAATCCCGCTGGGTTCCCTGTGTTTTCCCTGGGGCAGAAAACCACGTGACAATCTCCCCCGGGTAATCTGCCGTGCTGTTTGGAAGCACACCAAACCTGGAATTGCTGCCCGCTTCCCTTCGTTTTCCACGCGGGAGAATTCCACGAGTCATGAGGCCGGGAGCATTTCCCCTTCCCCGACCCCGTCGCTCGCGAGGCCGCCGCCGATGCCGCCATCACCCCCGGCAGCTGATGGCCGGCGCATTGCTACTGGCGTGCATCTCCCGGTGGCCAGCGATTCATCTCTCACGAATCGCGGCCGTGTCGCTGCCGCCACAAGATCCACCTCTCAGGAGCAGCACCTCCACCTCAGCCTCGTCCTTCCAGCATGGCAAAATCTTGTAGATCTTGGGGCCGCTGAGCTGCCGCATCCTCCTCCCTACTCCTGCGTCTGGCTAAGCACCGCGCCATCGACCTATTTCCATGCCTAGTTCAACTGAAGCGCGGTGAGTATGCACCCTATCGTTCTTGTTTGGTGAGCTGTGAAAAGGATGGGGATATCTGGTATCTGATGGCTTTTTATGCTTGCTTATTTTTCTTGTCATATTGTGCGGTGATTTTTGCGAGATTTGTTATTCATATGTCTACCCGATCAGAACTATTTGCCTCGTTAATTTTATTCATGCTCATAAGTATGCAGTCTGGGTACTGCAAAATTTGTGGTTCTTGTCTAACTGATTCATGGTCAGTAGTAGCACGAAATTAGGCTGGCTATTGCAATTAGTTGACGAAATTTCAGTAGTAGCTAACAGATTAGTTGCAAATCATGGTCAGTGATTCTGGAAAATAGTTGTTTATCACAAAAACTTGAATTTTTGCGTCTGTTTAACCTGCAAGAAATTGGTGTTCTGAAGAAGTTTAGGAATATGTAGCTGTTCAGGAACGTCCGATGGGTTACATCAATGAATCTGGACACAGATATGGCTTTTCTTTCGGAACCAAAAACAGAACTCTATTCATTCATTACTAACTCCTCTGTTCATATAGTACAACATCTGACAAGAAACTGAACTCCTGATTTTATGCAGCTAATCTTGAGAGGAGAGATAGTGACCTGGAGGCAACACATATGTGTGATGCCTGTCTTATCTTAGAACTTTCTTCGATTGCAAGCATTGATCGAGTTTACAAGCATATACCCTCTTATTTGTTTTGTTGCTTCATTTCCTAAGGTAGCGTGTACTATTGAATGCACTGTTATTATGACTTAAGTTGAGTAGTTTTTTTACGTTATGAGTTTGAAAAGTTTCACAATTTCAAGAAGTTCCTAAATGTTTTAGACTTCAATAATGCTCTTGGTATATATGGCAACTTGGCTGAGTTTGTTGCTTGGTTGATATTTCTGGTGTAGCTCCTGAAGCATGATATATGCATATGTTTTGAACTGTCAGCGGCATATTTTGTTGTCCTTGAAACCATGGTCAGTAAACTTGATTGGTGATGTATCCACAAAATATAAGTACCACACATTGTTAGGTATTGCCAACTTATCTGGAATTGAAATTGTGTTACCAGCTTATCTGGAATTGAAAGTGTAAATGATGGTGCACATTTCTTGTTCTTGCTTCTCTCCCTGATTTGATTGCTCTCAAATACCAGATCTAAAGCCTCGTGCGATTGGAAACTGCAATATAAGATGTGGTCACGATGATCCAGTGCTGGTGAGTTTGTTGTTGATACACAAGTCTATCCTTTCTAGGCTAATTAAGTTTTGAGGTGGCACCAGATGTCCAGACTTTTAGCCTGTCAATTTGTCTGCCTTTTACTAACAATTTCTTAGTTTGGAACATACGGCGTACCTGAAGGCTAGCGACTTGGTATTATTTGAAACTAGAGGTCGACATGAAAGCTAAAGACACATTGAATTGTTGAAAATAACTTCTAAATTTGTTTAGAAATTACTAAAGTTTGTGATTCATTCTTAAGTTCATTAGTACTAAATTAGGACCTAAGGTGCATAAATTCAGCTGAGATGTCGCTCATCAGTTCATTGGGGAGCTATTTAATAGCTAGCACGTTTGTGCCTTACAGAATGTATGATTTGATTAAGGAAATATATTTTAAAGTATAACATCCTTTTGTTTCTTTGTTTTTTGTTTTCAAAATATTTCCGCGAACTGTGTTTGAATGTGTTTATTTGGAATTCAAAACATTGTGCAATTTACATTACAGGCTTAGAATAAGCAAAGCTCATAGTCAATAGCCATAATAAACATGCAAGTTCTATAGGTTGACATTATGACGTGTAGTCTGCCCCAACCGCGAGCTGCCTCGTCAAACCTGCAATTCTACAACTCGGACTGTGCTTCCAAACATCGACATGAATTGGGGGAATGGCTCCCAGGAAACGATTATCCAATTAATTCCCCGTAGGGTCCGTGCCCTGGGCAAATCGGCCCCTGTTTCCAAAGTAGCCCTTATAGTTGTTGAACCGAAAAAAGTACTCTCTCTCTCTCTCTTCTGCTTCCCGGGTTCCAGTTGGAGAGCGCATTTGACACGTCAGCAAAGCACACGCACAGGTGGCAAGTGGCATGCATGCCAGATACAACGAGTTATCCAATCAGAAATCGCAAGAGATATGCTCATCCAGGCAACGGCCGAACGGGTGAGGCTATCCTATCGTCCCGCCATTATTTAAACTCAACTCCGGTTGCCTGCCTCCTCACCGCAGCCAGCACAAAACAGCTCACGAGCTCTAACCCAAGCACTAGCAGGAAACATCCTCCGCGATCATCAATGGCGGCCTCTACCATGTCACACTCCTCCCCGGTCCTTGCCAGCAAGGCGGCGAAGAAGGTCCGGCCCAGCGTGTTCGGCGAGGGCCGCATCACTATGCGCAAGACGGCCGCCAAGCCGCCTAAGCCCGCCGCCGCGTCCGGCAGCCCGTGGTACGGCCCGGACCGCGTCCTCTACCTCGGGCCATTGTCTGGTGAACCTCCGTCCTACCTCACCGGCGAGTTCCCGGGAGACTACGGCTGGGATACCGCTGGGCTGTCGGCGGACCCCGAGACGTTCGCCAAGAACAGGGAGCTGGAGGTGATCCACTGCCGGTGGGCCATGCTCGGCGCGCTTGGCTGCGTCTTCCCGGAGCTGCTTTCCCGCAACGGCGTCAAGTTCGGCGAGGCCGTCTGGTTCAAGGCCGGCGCCCAGATCTTCAGCGAGGGGGGCCTCGACTACCTAGGGAACCCCAGTCTCGTGCACGCACAGAGCATCCTTGCCATTTGGGCATGCCAGGTACAAATTAAATCAGTCCGATTCAGACCCCAACTCGCCTAAGCAGTTTGGATTTTGCTCTGATAGACTGATATTACAATGCAATGCGATTGCAAATTGCATCGCTGATCACCTGATCGACCAGGTCGTCTTGATGGGGGCCGTGGAGGGGTACAGAGTGGCCAGTGGGCCGCTCGGCGAGGTGGTCGACCCGTTGTACCCTGGTGGAAACTTCGACCCGCTGGGGCTCGCCGACGACCCGGAGAAGTTCGCGGAGCTGAAGGTGAAGGAGATCAAGAACGGCCGCCTCGCCATGTTTTCCATGTTCGGATTCTTTGTCCAGGCAATCGTCACCGGCAAGGGGCCACTTGAGAACCTCGCCGACCATATCGCTGACCCCGTCAGCAACAACGCCTGGGCGTACGCCACCAACTTCGTCCCCGGCAACTGATGATTCATTTCGAGGCAACCTCCGGCCGGCCAAGGAAACAGCGCGATTGTGCCAAAGGCAAGCGTTGCGCACGCACCCTGTATTTGGTCGTGTCATACTGTCATTTGGTATTGTTTGATGAAACAAGGATGATGGATACTGTAAGTCTCAGCTCTGTTTCTTTAGTTTGATCGCAGTAGTATTAAAGGAGGATTAAGGATCGCTTATGCCCCCGTGGGCCGACTTTTTCCAGGCATGCTGCGCTACGGCCATTCCCAGGCCAGACCAACTGGACAAAATTGTCAGCGTTGTCGGCCCATGTAAACCTAATGGTATCCAATCTAAGAACGGACTTGCTAGCCCGGACGTTCGATCCGGGCACTAACGTCTGACTCTGCCCGCACAGGAGCGAACGAGCGCCTAGAGCATCGGGCTCAGGCCGCTTCCCACGCGCATCCAATGTGTAACATTCGATCTATTTTTGAAACATTCAGATACAACAGTTGCAACATACCAAAGAAGCCACATGAAACACTTAAACAAGCGTCTGAAACACTTGCGAAAACGTCTGAAAAACATTTGAAAACCATTACAAACACGTGCAACATCCATATAAAACACTTGCAAACATACGTATGAAACACTTGAAACATATGCTTGCAACATACATGTGTATGCAACATCTAGATCTACTTTTGCAACATCCAGACAAAACACTTGCAGCATTCGTCTGGAACAGATGAAACATTTGGAACATACACTTGAAACATACGTATATAGCCATTACAACATGTGCAACATCCCGATCTATTTTTGCAACATCGATATACAACACTTGCAACATACCTCGAAAACATCTGAAACACTTACTATTGCAACATACGCTTTAGTGTAGCATCTTTTTGTTGCTTGAACGAATGGAGGCTCGTCGACGCGGAGCGGCGTGAAGGTCGCCGATGTGGAGCTCGTTGGCGGCACGACTCTCGGTAGGGGCAGGGACAGGGGCAAGCAGATGGAGCACGGCCGCGATGGAAGGCACGAGTCCGGGAGGAAGCTAGCGAGTGCCTAGCGATCAGGCTCACCGCGCACGGCGCAGGCGGGCGGTGGGGGTGGGGGCAGAGGGCGAGGACAAGGTCCGTCGCATGAGCAGAGCGAGCGGGCGATGTAGGTGGGGACGGCGTGGGCTAGGTCCATCCGGGACAGAAGGACGCCCTACTACTCGATCCAAGAATATCGAAATGCGGAGGTATCCGAACTCCGAAGAAGAAAATCATGCACTGTCCACGCAAATTAGACATGACTAGTCACATACAGCTCTACTCTCCTTAAAGGTGGCGCTCGAGCTCGAAGGCATTCCTCCGCATGTCTGGGCCGAGGACACCGCTGCCAAGATCCTGGTGCCAAGTTGCTGGTTACATGCAGTCGATCCACAATCGGCGTCCAAGGCTGATCTATCGGCGTACAAGCTATCTGCTTGGACATGCGACCCACGAGCAATTCCCAAGGTCATATGGCTCCACATCGTCGAGAATGAAGTCGTTCACGTCAGGCACGCCGATGCGCCATACCTCCGGCGGAAAGACGTTCTGGGCTACCGTGTGCTTGTCCCACCTCCGCCACGTCACCGACTTCGATCCGACAAACTCGTCTCCACCGCCTTCACCGCCGGAATTAGACAACGGCGGCAGCGGTCACGACGGCAACCCCGACCGACATCACTTCTGCTGGGGCACCGAGTCGCGCATCCAGGGGTTCCGCTGCTCCCGAGGCATCGTCGACGGCGAGTCGGCTGCCAATGGCAACCTCGGCTCCGGCGTCGCATGGGGCGCCAACCGTCAGCCGACACGTCCTCGTTCTCCAACAACAAAAAGCAGGAAAGCAAGATGCTTCTGGCGACCTCCTTGACCCAGTCTCTGTCAGGGATCGTCCAGTGGGCTAGCGTGTACAGCCCATACAGGTCCATGGCAGCAGGGGACAAGCCCATATAGGCCCAAGGCGGCAGGGGACAAACACTACAAAGGAAGCAAGCTGCAACAGTTCAGGGCATCAAACAGTTTATCAGAACAGAATACCTTTCCTTTGGTTTACTGTTCTTCTTCCTTCCCAAGTCTACCTTTCTGTACTAGTTCTTCCTTTCTTCACTGCTCCGATCTCCCTTCTCCTGGGATCTTGTATCCTACTTGCTTGAATCTAGTTATATGTGAGCAATCTAGTCGGGGGATGCTAACAGTCTCGCAGAGCGCTGCTTGCGGTGTGGTTGCAGAGGGTCCACAAGTTCGAGAGCCAAGCACAAAGATCCAGCATGCAGCCAAAATTGGTTGCGAGGAACCTTGCCAATTCGAATTTTCCCTGTACTGCAAAGCTGACAGACCGGCTGGTGTGCAGCCGGCCTCGGATCCCATGGTCCTTGAGGCAGGGCTCCACAGCGGTCTGGTACTTGCTGCCAGCTGCATCCACGGAGGCGACAGCTGGGATCAAGGCGTTCAAACCAACTTCGGCGACAGCCACGCGGCAGGCAACGCGGAAGCCGCTGGAACACGGGACAACCATGTATGCGGGCCTCCTGCAACGGCCCATGAAGGTCTCCTGGCAGAAACCATGGCGGAACCAGCATCGCCCGCGGCAGCAAACATGCCAAGCGACGCACAAGATGTGGAGCACAGCGCGGAGCCATGCGCCAAGTCTGCTCATGGGCCCGCGGGAACTACTCCCGGTATGGGGATTGCCACCGCGGATGACGAGGTGGTCATGCCATCTCCTAGTGCGGCGGTTGAAGCGGTCAGTCCACCTGGACAGGCTCCACACGTTGCGACGTCAAGTCCGGCCGCTACGCCTTCAGCCGCTGCACCGGTGGCCACGACGCAGGCGACTAACGTCGGGTCACCCGCGGATGAGCCCACACCCACTCCTCGGGAGGCGGCACGCCGCCTCGCCAACTTCACAGCCGAAGTGCAGCGCAAGCGGCAAACCCCGCTGATCAAAGCTCCGCCGAAGCAGAAGGAACAACCCAAAAAGCCGATCATCCCAATGAGAAGCAGACGCATTGCGGCACAACAATTGGATCACATCCCGGCATCCAAGCGGGGGGAGGCCCTCCTAATGAAGAAGATGGGGGTGCTCCCAGCTACAGCCGCGCCATCCTCGGCGAGCAGGCGAACGTTCGTTGCGTTCTTCGAAGCCAAGCTATCTGCCAGCGAGGTCGAGGCTTTCGACGTGCTGTTCCCGGCCACAAAGACATGGGCCGGTAGAGCAGCGCGGCGGCCTATGGCCGTGGGGGCCTGATCATAGGCCGAACTCCACCAGGATGTTAATCCCCATGGATAACACAACCATTCTCTCCTGGAATGTGCGCGGCCTTAATGCGCAGGCACGGCGAGACAATGTTCGTACGCTTGTAGACGACATTAGGCCATCAATAGTCTGTCTGCAAGAAACAAAACTGGATGTAATTCCCACTTCCCTGATACTTTCAATGTTGGGTAGAGCGTTCCCGGAGTATGCTTATCTGCCGGCATCAAGCACCCGCGGCGGCATCCTAATTGCAGGCCGCCAGGCGGACGTCTCGTTCTCTGATGTGCTCGTGGGCTGTTATTCGGTCACTGTCTCTGTCGAGGCCGCGACGAGCAATGGGGATGGGCAGGGCAAATGGTGGCTCACAGCCGTCTATGGTCCGCAAGAAGACGGCGACAAGGTCACCTTCCCCGAGGAGCTAGAAGCAATCAGAGACGCCTGTGCAGGGCCTTGGGCGATAACAGGCGACTTCAACCTCATTCTGAACGAAGCCGACAAGAACAATGAACGCATAGACCGAGCAAATCTGCACCGCTTCCAGCGAACGGTGGTTGCACTGGAGCTACAGGATATGCACCTGCACGGCAGAACGTTCACTTGGAGCAACGAACGCTGGTCCGGCTCGACAGAGTACTCATCTCCGTCGATTGGGTTGAGAAATTCCCAAACGCGCATTTACTAGGTTTTGGCACTGACGCCTCAGACCACTGTGCCCTGCTGCTACAAAACAACCTGGGCCAGATGACTAAAGCCCGGTTCCATTTCGAGCTCTTTTGGCCCAAGTTCGACGACTACGAAGACATCATAGCGCAAGCATGGCAGCGGCCTAGCCTGATCAGCGATCCTCTAGCGCGCCTCGATGCCATGGTCAGGAATCTGGTTCGAGAGCTCCAGAGTTGGTCAGCTACCAGAATCAGGGACATCAAAGAATAGCTACTGATGGCACGTGAGTTGGTGCTGCGGCTCAACATCGCTCAAGAACGACGACAGCTCTCTGATGAAGAACTCGGTCTGCGCAAGCGCATGAAGATGCGGTGCCTCGGATTGTCTTCTCTGGAACGGACGATGGCCAGGCAAAGATCTCACATCCGCCAACTCAGCGACGGGGATGCCAACACTGCATATTTCCACCTAATCGCAAGGGGCCGCAAGAGGAGAAACTTCATCCCATCGCTAACTGTAGCTGGTCGTGTACTGGCAGAACATGCAGACATGGAAGAGGCACTCAATTTCCAGGCATTGGGGATCCACCCCATTGACCTCAATGACCAAGAGATGCCGGTTGAAGCTGCAGAAGTCTGGGCGGCCATCAATGCAATGCCGAGTGACCGTGCACCAGGACCCGATGGATTCACCAGTGCATTTTATAAAGAATCTGTCTAGCTAATAACATGTTGTTTTAGCCCCTCTCAACAACTAGATTTTTTTCGTGCACTTACACTGTCTTATAGCTATATTTACATCGTCTTATTACTATATTTACAATGATTTCTTCAGTGTAATATATTGGACAGAGCGATGTAAGTTGAGAATAACACAAATATATATCAATTTTTTAAAATAAATTACAAATTATTTCTATAAATTTCAAACATCAGAGAAATATATATCAAATTGTTTACAAATGTTATCAAATACAAATGGAACAACAGATAGCAGATCTCGTCTTCAAGCGGGCAGAACCAGGGAGCACACATGTAGCTAGCACTGTCCTGCGATCACTCGGTGGA